TAAAATAATTTACAGGTGGAAGGACAGACTTAAATCAGGTATGTTTCAATGCTCTTAAGTTTTGGGAACTACATGTTTTTCTGTTTCTTACCCCCTCATCACCACGTCTGGGCATTTATGTCCTGCATTAGTTTATTTATTTAAAAACAGAAAACAGTTAGCCTATTGCCTACTGAAGTGCACAGCATTCAGACGACCTCTAGTACAATAAAGTGGCACTATCATACAACCAGATAATTAGCCAAGAGGTCAGCAACAAGGCCTTCTGAGAGTAAGAACAGTGATAATATCTAAAAAGAAGAGAAATATCTATTTCAGCACTTGCGTTATCAGTTTTCAGGATGTGAAAGGTTTATACTAAAAAGTGACAAAGCAAAATGGAGGGAAAAAAAAAATACACGTCAAAGGATGAGAAAGAGGTGGGTGGCAAGTCCCAAAGGTTAGCATTAGGCTTGAGAGACTAATCTTACAGTCCCCTCTCCAGTCAAAGAACAGGGAAAAAAGCTCTGTTCCTGTCTCCTCGGCGAAGCTTCAGGAAACCGTCCCAGGAGCATCTACCAGAACAATTTACAAGAATAGAAATAAAGCATGGGGAAATCAAGACAAGGTCAACTTCTCTGTTGAGACTGAAAGTAAGCACAGAAAATAAACACAGCATTTCAAACAGAAGGGAAAAAAAAAAAAAAAACGCAACAAAGACACTGAGGAAAAACTAAGGTCAGATTTTAGAATCGTAGAATGGTTTGGGTTGGAAGGGACCTTAAAGCTCATCTAGTTCCAACCCCCCTGCCATGGGCAGGGACACCTCCCACTAGACCAGGTCGCTCAAAGCCCCGTCCAACCTGGCCTTGAACACCTCCAGCAATGGGGCAGCCACAGCTTCTCTGGGCAATCTACGCCACTGTCTCACCACCCTCATAGTAAAGAATTTCTTCCTAATATCTAATCTAAATCTCCACTCTTTCAGCTTAAAACCGAGGTTCAGAGGTATTTAACATCTGGCCACAGAAATGGAAAGTGCAGCCTCTCCTGCCTGAGGGGTCCTGGGGGTGTTCCAAGTCATAATCAAAGCAAATGGGGCAATGAGTTAGTAAAAAGACTCCATTATGGCTCTGAGTCCTGTCAGCTTGTACAGCTTACTGCCCTGTTACCACAGACGTGCAAACAGGTTGATGGGAGGAAGCAACAGACCCCAATGTGGCTAATGCCTCCAAAGCTGCCAGCTCAAAGTTTAGCTCTTCAACAATGAACATTACGCTGCATACTCTGACTAGATGAGGCCACAACCCTTTTCTCCAAGTACTTGCTAAATTACTTCCCATCGGCACTACGCTTCTGCAAAAACAAGTTCAGCAACAGCAGCCATGCATTCCGTGCTGCTGACATGTTTCCATGTGAGGATGTCTACCCTGTACTCCTCCGTACCCACACAAGGCCTTGGACTGGAAATCCACTCCCCACAGCCCCAGGAGACCATCCAAACTAGGAGCTGATCTGCCATGGGATCCACAAAACAATGAACACATCACCTGAGCTTTCCTCTTGTTGGGTTTTTAAAGACAGCACTTAGAGGAACTCCTAGATCTGATGGTAACACCCGTCTGAAGGTAGCTTTGCTGGTGAAGGCAATGCTAGGAATAAAACAACCAAACCTGTTTTCACACTTTTATGGCACAGAAAGGGCTGAGAAAAAGCTGCTTTGAAATGAACTTCAGGTTGCAAGCTAAAACACCCTGATATATACAAGCATACAAGGATGGACTTCCAAATTGTTATTTTTTCTGAAATTTTTTTTGTAAATAAAGCAAAAATAATTTTAAATCCTCACATTCAAAAAAGGCGAGAATCAGATAAACAAGAACAAAAAGCTAGAATTTTGGGAAATATAAGCAGCTATCTCTTTCTTGTGCAGAAAACAAAAAGCCAGTAGAACAACAAAACACGGACACAAACAAGAAAAACATCAAACGTTATTTTCAAAGGACAAATTGCAATCTTAAAGCATCTCCTCAAAAATTCTCAATATAAATAATGGACTTTTATTGTTCATTTACTGCAAGGTTAGGCAGCCTGATATGATGGATGAACTGTCAACCCCCAACTAAACTTCTACAATCCATCATAGAAAGAGTGGAAATTTCACTCAAAGTGTCAATAAACCTAAATGATGAAGTGCAAAATACTTTACAGAGTTCTGATCATTTTTTAGAACCTGCAGTGACTGCAAAATTTCAGAAACACTGCTCTTCCCCCACTCCCCTCCCCTTCTCCCTCGAAGTCATAAAATGCAGGTGTACATCTTGATTTGTAAGTCAACAATACCATAGAATTATAGAAGAGAAATTAAGTTTTCATAAAGGTCTAGTGCTACAGAAAATTATGTTTACAAAATAAGCTGTTTTATTCAACCCAAATATCAGAAAGATTGCCAAGATTTTGTAAAGATTTCTGTTTAACGAATCAGCTATTCAAAAGGGGCCACATGAAGAAAATTAACCCAGGGCTGTTCTGGAGCTTGGTCTGACATCAAAGCTGACCCTGCCCTTAGACAACCAGAACTGCTCTATGATTCTATAACAACTAAGACCATAATAAAATGCATAGATTTCAATTTAATAAAAAACCCCAAGTGGTTACTGTGTCTTTAATTTGATGATAATTGACAAAGAATGATGAAGTATTTGTACGTAACGACTAAGTCACACTAATAACAATGCTTTAAATGATGTATGTATACACATGGGAAAACTTCACTTTATAACACCAACAAACTCCTATGCTCCTGTTCTAAAGCAAAAGTGGTGGCATATGCAGCAGCATGAACTAACATGCAGACCCATCCAAAACCAGGTATTACGTTGCTTGATGTAGGTATCCAAGATATTATTATCAGCTTGTTTACTTTACACAGCAATATATTCTTTGTGTCCATATCAGAGGAAGCCTGCATCTCTCCTTCACAGACATACGTGAAAGCCATATAAACCAGCTGTAGCAGACTTATCACAATGTATTCAAAATTAGCTTCCAATTACCCCTTTGGACTTGATTGTGATGCACGCTGTGACTTACTTAAAGCTAAGAATGAACCTCCCACCAGAAGTATCATGATACACTAGACTACAAAAATTTTAGGGTTTGCTGCAGATCTCAGAGGCCAATACAAACTTTTGTCACGTTTGATGAGGATATTTTAATAAACTGGTAGAAAGCATTTATAATGTTGAATATAAGAGCATATCAAAATCTGTAAAAACTAGGTCGTCCTGCCTTTGCTTATCATTTAGTGTTTAAAAACTTAATGCGTTAATCTAAGCCACCCCTGGACTTTCTCATCTGTACCTCATTTTATTCCAACTGGTCTCCTTAATGGTAACACTATGAAAATCCTTCTATTTGATTCTTTTCTTCCCTATTCCAACAAAGGAAGCAAGCTGTGCATCATAACTAAGTAAAAACAAAAATATAACCTCACATAGGTACCAATCTAAGCATTTCTAAATATTCATGTTGGAACACCTAATTTGTTTTAGCTTTAAGCACATTCATAACAGCTTTATTTCAAAAGTCACTCACAACCTTACATCAAGTACGTTAAAAACAAATATTTTCATTACCTTCTGGGACTTATACTTCAAAAATGGCACACAAAACACACAACATAAATTGCATGGACACTTGCATAAAAAAATAGGGCACATTTTTCATTAATCCAAAAATCAGTGTTTCTCTCCGTTTTCTCATAACTAGCAGGTACAGAATGACCAAGAAGAAAAGCAGCAAAATAAATGAGTATTTAAGTAAATTCATAGTGCACAATGTGGGCACAACTTCAAAGCAGTGTTTGAAAGATGCCCTAGTACTGAGTTTTCATTTAATTGTAAAGCTCAGACAGAAAACATTTTTCTTTTCCTAATGACTAGTGTTTGATAGACAAATAATACTCAATTGAGTGAGATCACAGACTCAGATTTGCTGGAGACTCCTATTATAGAACCACAGAATACCAGGTTGGAAGGACCTCAAAAATCATCTAGTCCAACCTTTTCTTGGCAAAAGCACCGTTTAGTCAGATGGCCCAGAACCCTGTCCTGATGAATCTTAGAAGTGTCCACCACTTCCCTGGGGAGATTATTCCAATGGCTGATTGTTCTCTTTGGGAAAAATTGTCGTTTTCTGCCCAGTCGGAATCTCCCCAGGAGTAACTTGTACCCATCACGCCTCGCCTTTTCCATGTGACCCCTTGTGAAAAGGTAGTCTCCATCTTCTTTGTAGCCACCCTTTAAATACTGCAACATGGTGATAAGGTCTCCCCATAGCCTTACAGTGTTTGCTATAATTAGAAATCCCTTGCACTCAAATTCCACAGCCTTTCTAGAATTAGTATTCCTTTGAATATAAGGCATATTAACTTACACAAAGTAAAAATACTAACTTGCATACAATGAACAAAACAGATGCAGTAAAACCCCTGGTTATCAACAAGCGATTGAATAGATTCCGATTCTAATTACGCATTTGTTCCCCCTCAGTCTTCACATGTAGACTTCATGAACTTCCCTGTTTGAGAAACTGTTTGTCATGTAAGCTGCTATATGTTTATTACATGAGCTATAGCCTACCTTTCCCATATCTGCTTTGTTTTTCACTCTTTTTACTAAACTCAGAAAAGCTCTTTGAGAATAGTGACTGCATCATTCTCGAGCACAATGGTAACGTGTCTGAACAGAAATCTCTTATTTCAGAAAATGGGCTAGAGAGCGAAACAGAACCACCCCAGTGCTAAGGCTCCTCGTCTTTCCCTTTCCACCTGTGTTATACCATAACACTACTACTGGAGTTTTACATCCATCTCTTTTTACGTAAAGGGCTCATTTTACACATCTGTAATGCAGAAATGAATGTTTGAAGGCAAGGACAGATGATAAACAAAGCTTAATTAATGTGCTACTAGTCCAATGCGATACTGGCCATACATGAAGAAAGTAAAATTGTCTTACCGTACACTTTGCACTTGTTGTAACAGTCAGGGTGAAATCTGAAGAGAATTCTAAGTCTGGAGTAGATGCGGTGTTACAGTCAATGCGCTGTCGAAAGGAATAACACAATTCCGTCAGTAACAGTGCAGAATTTTAATTAAGATCTTCCTTTGGATGAAGGTTGTTCCGTTGCTCCCACAGAGAAACAACTTTGCTAGGGCAATACTAATTCAGCTCTCCAAAACCGGGAAGAGACTTAAAAAGCACCTAATGCTAACTGCACACTGACAAAACTTCTAAAACCCCTTTTCCCCAAACATCAGCGTAAACAGACACTTTGACTTGTAGTGGTTTGCAACTAGATACAGGAGCTTACTCTGTTCGAGAAAGTTGCTCTTAGGTAACCTTCTTGATGACAGCTGCCCGTAGTTGCGATTAAGCAGCTTTCACAGGCATCCACGCAGATATCCTCAGCAGCAATCAGTTTCTTGGGCTGCAATTTCTCAAGTCACTTCAGCTGTGGGATTTTACATAGCCCTTCAGCTGCCCCAAGCCCTTTGCAGAGGACCCTTCGCACAGGATCCCTGCCTGCCCATTTCTCCAGCCCGTGGAGGTCCTTCCCAACGGCAGCACAACCACATGGTCATGCTGCTGAAATATGAGGGGCACAACAGACGAGAAAAAGCACAGGAGGCAGACCGCTGCTTCTCTGTTTTGAAATTATCACATAACAGTAGCATCCAGGATAATAGTGATAACGCTGATCAAGCTGGAAATTGCATTTCAATATTTTTTTAATTATATAACAATAAAATCAGAGCTTTTAAAGATCAATAAAGTTCCGGTTTCAGCTGTCCATAAAAATTCCACCATATTTTTTCACTGTATGCAGTTCTTTGGTTGACGTACTCAGCTAAAATGCATTATCCAAGAACATCATATACTGCTGAAATTAAACGTCATATACATTATTAATCAATATTTCTTGATGTTGCCTCATCTCTCTTTAGGGAATGTTTTTCTCCTGAAAAGTTACATTATAAACTATTCAAACCAAGAAGCAGCTAATCTGAGCAAACACACTGAAATATCTTCTGTAATAATCATACGCTAAATTGGAACATTTTTAACTTTCCCTCAAAAATATAATCCATTTGTTCTGAGGAACAGTTATTGATTAAAACAATTTACCTATAATGCTACTATTGCTCAACTCATTAATTTTACTACTTCGTACTGTAACTGCAGCAAATGAGCTCAGGCATTGACTTGAGGTTATTTTAAAAACCATGATTGTTACTGAGAACAAATGAGTATAAAACTATTAAGCATAACAGTTATGCGAAATGCTGCATGATGACAAACTTTGCTAAGCATACACACCTGAGCTGGACAGTGAGTGCTCGTGACAGTATATATTAGGAAGGGGCACATACCATTACCAGTAAAGCCTTTTGCTGCTAAAACAACAGCACCTTATAGACTGCATTGGGCAAATTTAACTGTAATTATTGTTATTAACACTTTCCAGATGTTGTTTTAATTCACGTGTTTACCTAACAAACTGATAGAGCTCAACTTATCCATGTAGCTAATTCAGAGCACTTTACATGGTCTTCCTTTTCTGTGTGCTAAACTTGATCAATTTGCAAGATGTATTCAACGACACTTCCACTTGAATCAGAACACGCAAAATGTTATAAAAAAAAAAGCAGGTGAGAGAAGAGCCTGTGCCACACTCATTGCACAGTCAGACCTGTCAGGTGCCTGACAATTACAGCCTCGGATTCTTGATCTTAGTACCTCTGCTTTGTGCACATTCGATCACTACGGGTAGAATTTATCTTCCCTATAATGACATATTTCAATAACTGAGTTGATCACTCTACCCCTCTCCTTACACTTGTAAACCTCAAGTTGCACAACTTATTACAGGTGTCCTTAGGAATTTTATTTCACTGACTGTAAAGGGAGTCTAGTCAACAAGCTCAGAGGATAAAGTGTAAGACATCTGTAATGACTTTATCATCTATGAATAAAGAATCCTGAGGTTAAAAAAAAGAAAACACACCCCACAAAGTAGAGATGCACAAGGCAGCCAAAGTCGTTATTCAAGTTAAAGAAATATCAGCCTCAGCACTTCTTACATTTGAATGCCTGATTGAAAAAAAAAATAATATTTTCTAATCTTCTCTGTAATAAAATTATAGACAAGAAAAGCTAACAATAACTTGCACCAGGATATACTTACAACAAAACTGTATTTCACCTGTTACTGCTTTTGTGGGCAGGATGACAACTGACCACAGCAAGTAGTTTCTATGCTGGAAGAGACTGCAACAACCCTTAGCAATAGTGTCAAGTTCAGTGATGAATTATGTAAACCCATTTTCTGCTATATAAAAATAGGATAGGAATACAAATAAACAGGAATTACCTCTTTAGTAAACAGGGAATTCCCACTGAACAGTAGTACTATTACTGCCTTAAGTGTTTTACAATAGACAAGTAACTACATGAACAATTATAATACCATCATGATGAAAAAAATCTTTGTAATAGTCCTAATCTCCATGTGATCTGAACTGTTCAGCGTTCTGGAATTATAGCTCATCAGGTAGGTGTTCTCTCATATGAATCACTACCAGCTTTGCTGCTGTTCCCCATCACAAAGTTGCCACAAAAAAAGACAATACAGAAAAGTATGCATAAAATTAATTCAATGAGTACTGCAGAAACTACTATTGTCTTTTCAGACACAATCATTCTGTTGGATGTAGCTATGGGTGGTAACAAGTCATCCTCCAATGAAAGATCTTTAAAGTTAGTTAGTTTCAAAGACATGGCTCACATGTGATGTGTCCATTACTGTTGAAGACCCAAACTCATTGGTGTCATACTTGCGAATTGAAAAATGTAATGGTGGAATTCAGAGGTGAAATAATCCCTTTTGCTTCCTTTCTTTTAAAGGCAGCTTTACTGCTACTCTTAAAAATAATAGTGGAAGATCATCTAAGATGCTCTTTTCCAACAAAATTCTGCCTGTGCAATTTTTGGCACTACCAATAGCTTCACTTTAGGAAAATACGTTCAACTCCTTTGTTCCATCCCCCAAAATCATTTTTCTTGGACATCCTAACACCGGAGTTCTGAGGTCTAGTTTGACACTCAAAAGGACAAGTACTCCCCCGCTACAACTCAGTACACTGACTGAGGTGAAGAGGGAAGGAAAGTACAAGAGGAGACACTATATTCCAGGTTTTTTTGGGTACAGCTTAGAATTTCAGTTATGCAACTTGTAACTTACTAAAATGCAAGTAAATTTGGGTTTGGATAGAAGAAAATGTAGGACAGAATAATCTAAACTTGGGAAGATTACTTTATTAAGAGCTCAAACTTGGTAAAAACAAAGCAAACTAATTTAAGTTTTACAGTCTTAACACCAAGAACATTGTTGCATTTGTATCATTCTGAAGATGCCAAAGTTTGCATGTGTCTATTTCCCCCCTTGGTTAAAAAAAAAAAAAAAAAAAAGGAAACTCCTAATCTGACTACTAACAATTTAAGAAGGCTCTAGTATGGTACCTTAATGACACTGGCTGTAGATATCAGCGTGTTTGGATCCAGCATCTCCACAACAGCTTCTGGAATTACGGCCTTCTTCATGCAAGACATGTCAAAGCCATACACGTCTTCCCAGAAAAGTAGCTTGTCCGCATGTTTATTCATGTCCCCCACAGCTACTAGACTAATGGTGCAAATGTCAGGATAAACTGTAACAACAGACACAGATTAGTGAAATTTTATTTTAGATGTGCATAAAGAGGACTTTTATTTTTTGATTCTTCTTTTCTCTTCAAGTGGTTAACATCTAAAAAGAACAAATAAAAACTCCGTTCAGGTCTTGGACAAGACAGTTTTTCTGCTACTTTTCTCGAGTCCCATTTGTCCACAGACAAGACTAGACATTGGAACTTGATTTTTCCCACACTACTCTGGTAACAGTATTTCCTGTTCACGTCAAAATATCCCTGTAGTTGAATCCCACTGCCAGGAAATGACCAGAAACTCAATGTCTGAAGAAAATAATTTGGAACATTGTGTTCTGGCTGCTATACAGAGACTGCCCTAAAAATGTATTTAATAACCGTAGGCAGACGCCCAAAGGAAAATTCAGGTGAGGGCTTTGCAGCAACAAGAAACCTCTGTGAAAAGACCTTATTTCCAGGAAAAATCAAATATTCTTAGCCAAGAGTTTTATTCCTGTTTCTTATCAGTTTTGGCTCTTACTTGCCTTACAACCTAAAAAATTATTTCTAGGTGCTGGAGAAGAATAACCACTCTTCTATCCACATCTGAATAGTATGGAAGTGACCCAACAGACAGAAGAGACCTTCCTCATTGATTCCCCCTCCAGTTTTAGGACGACAGCTATCGTTCTTACACTACCTTCACATTTGTGCTTCCCCTTCTCCCAAGAATATCTTCAGAACAAGTACCTACTTATAGCTTTTCCAAATAGTAGAGGAAGACTGACATTTGCCTTTTTAACAACTGCCTACAGCAAAGCCAGTCAATCTCTATCCACTGCTGATTGGAAAAGACACAAAGAACGACTGCTATGAACATGGCTGTCTACAACACTATCAAATAGCAAGAGAAGCTCAATTTATATTTTGCTAGGTTTCTTTCCACAAAGAAATTCCCATGTTTTGTCTTTAAGAGTGTCAAAGCCTTTAAAGTCACATACTTTGAATTCTTGATCTGGCTTCAGAGCAAAATGCCTGCTAATAAACACCTTATTTTATTTTTTATTGATACACAATTGTGGCAGTGTTAATAAAACTGAAGCTAAGTTTCTCTTTTCCTCCCCAAAATCTGGTGAACTGTAAAACTAATTTTGTCTTCAGCTCTGCTTGAAACTGTAGCTTATCAAAATGAGTATGGAGAAATCATTGGTAGAGCACGGTAAATCAAAAAAAGCAGTATTTTTTGTCTTGTAAAATACTGAAGACAAACAGCGAATTGAAATTAGAACTTTTACATAGTGAGCGTAGATTTAGCCTGAAGGAAATAACCTTACATGTATCAGTGATAAACAAGAGTCTTCTCTACAGAAGCTTTTTGTTTCTTCATATAATGACATTCAAGTAAGCAACCACCTCAACATTTGGAATGACTAGTTTATACAAAATAAACAAGAGTCTTCTCTACAGAAGCTTTCTGTTTATATAACGACATCCAAGTAAGCAACCACCTCAACGTTTGGAATGACTAGTTTATACAAAACGTGAACACACCATTTTTCTCTCTTTGACTGTTTAAAACAGAATAAATAAATAAATATCAGCAAGCTTTAACTGGAATTGGTAACCTATCATCATCCCTACTTTGCAGATGAAGAACTCAAAAAGCAGAAGGTTTCTCCAGGAAGAGCCTACAATTATCTCAGCAGTAAAAAGGCAGTTTGATGAGAATCAGAACAGGAAGGCATTCGAACCGTCTCGTCCAAAACAAATCATTTGGTTCCAGCACACCTGACAGCTGTCACACAAGCACAAAAATCAACATCTGGTGGTAGGAGTTATCTGCAAGCAGTTTCTGGAGCCATCAATAAAGGATTTCCATTTCTCAAAGCTTTCATACTGCTCTTTAATAGTGTGGCAGCTGATTATATTCAGCTTTATCTCTCAGTATTTCAAACCTTTGAGAGCCACCACTGAAGCTCCAAAAATTAAAAGACAGTGCGAAACAGACAACAAAAGCAAGCGACTACAGCCTCTGAAGGAATATATTTCAGAGAAACGCTCTTCATAGGAAGCGAGGGGTATGGTGAGAAGAGGGGTGGAAAGGGACTGGAAGTCCTTAGTTACAGGATATCTTACAGGAGCGCGCTAAAAACACTGCAATCAAAAATGAAAACCACAGCAAAAGTGATCAACTACTTCATAACCTTCCTTCCTCAGACTAGCCCTTATTTCTGGGACATTCTGTTAACAGGAAAAAGTCTACCCTGTCTATCAAGCATGATATATTTGAGAGGGCCCATAATCAGTTTTTATTAAATCTCCTTTGTCCACAGCGCAAATCTTTAAATCAGAGGTGGAAATCATGATCGATTATACAAAATGCTTAAGAAAGAGCAGAAAGGTAAACACTAATGCCTTAATCTAATTGGCATTTTTAGTTTAGCCTGTCAATAGCAACAAAAAAAAGCAGACAAGGCCTGTTCAGATTTCACAAGAAGAAATCTGTGTTCCACCAACAGGGCACAGGTAAAAGACTACAGACATACACGAACTCCCAAATTCACAAACCCACCCATGTCCAGAAGCGTACACTATACTGAAGTTTGACTGGAAATATAAGCATGTTACCTAAATATCAGCCTAAATCATCTAAACACTGTAGAGTTTTGCAAACATTTAAAAGCAGCTGCTTAAAATTGCATTTGCCATTTCAACCATTACCCTCAATCCTCTGCTTTTTCTGCAACCCTGTAACACTTCCCTGCGCGAACCTGACAGACTTGTCATTTTTTTCCTGATTAAGCCTGTAATTTAATAATTAATCCCTCTCACAGGTGAAATGAACAAAATGCTGATTGGACAAAAGCACCTACTCCTCAATGCTCTCACAGATTCATCGCTTTGACCATCTGTGTCCTTCTCGACTCAGTGCCCAGAAGTCATCTGTCACTCGGAACAGCTCACGTGGTGAACAGAAGACGATGGGAAATCCTTCATCCCTTAGCAATGCCTCACAAACTTCAGGGCGCTGAAGGGTAAGGCAGCAACCCTCCAGATAAACGGAAATAATTCCAAGTGAATACCATCATCATATTGCCACGAACAAGCAAACAGCACTACGTTTCGAGTGATGCCTTCCTTACCCACGGCAGCCCTCGCCAATGTGCAATGCACCCAAATGCATGCAAAAATCTATAGTCAAGCAAGTAACAGCTCTAAAGAACAAACAGATGTGTTCTGGGCAGCAAGAATTTTATGCTCCCAAACAAAGCTATTATATACTGTACACAGTAGCCGAGACAGTTTGGCATAACCCACTTCAGCGTGCCAATAGGCTAGATTGAAGCAACGATGATATGACTGACCGAACACAAATCTAGAAATTTGGATTCTATTCCTGGCTCAATCACTGAAAGATTTGGCCAAATCGCAGCTGCTTTTATTGCTTTTTTTCAGCTTTCAAACAGTCCCTGTAATAACGATCTTGGGCTCAATAGTACAAAGTGGCTTGAGACAAAATTAAGCTTTATGGCAGATTCGGGGGTTTCTCTCCTAAGACTTCAGCTCAGAACGAGCTCTTAGGTTTGACTCATCTGAATTTGGATGTGCCCACAGTTCTGCTGCTATTCCTCTATGCCACAGAGGTGTCTGTCTCACTAAGCCGACTGCTGATCAACTTTCTGACAGACCTCGGGCACAGCCATTCACCTGCTATACAAGCTGGCAGAAGAGCAGGAATTGTAAGCATCTTCAGGGAACAGCACTGCATTTAAAATCCGGCCATACCAATCGGCAACTGTACAATACCATACGCCTTCTCAAGAGCCAAGTAAGAGCCCAAGAGCGTTCACAGACCACAAAGAATAAGTGTACCGCAGAACCAGCGTACCCTGTCTCGCAAAGGAAGCTTTGGGAGGCACAAGCCATGAGCAAACTTACCAGCAATACAAAGAGAGAACAACACAGTATCGCAGTTTCAATAGAGGTCAAAAATCTCTGGCCCTTTTCGGAAGACTTTGGTAATAGTAGCTAAACATAAAAAGATTCCTTACAATTTTAGGGGATGTCCCCAGATTTAACTATATTGCAATTATCAGCACATATCTATACAGACCACACCACAACTGTGTTCCAGATCCGGCGGGACTATTCTATATTGCTGAAAACAAAAAAGCTCTTATTCTATCACGTTGTTCAAGTGGCTTCTAAATATTTTAACACATGAACAGTAATCTCTTCCTTGTATATTCAGCTTTGTGACAAAATATTGAACCACTGCATAAAACCCCTTTTTTTCTGCTGCACTCTGTGGCATACAAAAGCTCACTGCAATCCAAGGGAAGCGCTGCGCTGAGCACTGTTACATAGTCATTAATCCAATCATTAAGTCAGTGTAGTGAAACTAACTATGTGCGTGGTTAGCACAAAAGGGGGAAAAAAACCCAGACTGATGACTACGATTGAAAAGGTCAATATGAAATACAATACTGACAAAGGAATTAAGCACAAGGAATAAAGCATATGCAGAACTCGTGCAGAAAACCGCATCACACGAGGAATAAATATTTACAGGCATTTAAACACCACTTAAGATGACGCTATCTCAGCTACTTAAAAGGATAAAAGACCTCTACTTCAAAATAAAACCCTTCTGTTCTGTCACTTCCCTACCTTCCAGCGGTGAAAAAAAAGGGTATATTCCCACCAGGATAGAATAAATATGCTAAACTGAAACAATGTAATGCCATTAGTTATTTCACGTGACTTCTTGTGTTTGAAACTGTCCTCCCACACAACTTCCCTCCTCCAGGAACACATCCTATCCACTTTTCCTCTAATTCATCGTAGCTTACTCTAACAGTGTCACATCTTACAGAATATAACTTACTTTCCTCTGTTGTAGTTATGCAGAAACTGGGATTTTGAGAGGGGAAAACAAATGCCCACGTGCGAGAAGGAGGGAGGAAAAATTTAGACTGTACTTAAGAATAAACAACCCCCTCTATTCTTAAAAACACCATTTACTTGAGACCTTGATACTCCATCTAATGTTCTTCTATTACCCATACAGTAAATTAATGCCTTGAAGCTCATACTAATGGAAACATTTTTCATTTAGACTGGCAACTTTCTCATCCATGCATAGCTTATTCTAAGTCTCCGAGTTCATTTAGTTTCCCCCCAGAGCTAAATTTATTAAAAGAATTATGCGCACCAACCTGAGCCTCCCTCTGCCAGGTACTTGTCCTTTGCATAGATGACGGAATCCAGCATTGACTCAAAGAGAAGAAAATAACCCTGTTTATAGAAAAGATAAAGAACTCAGAAATCATTGTGCTTCTTATGTAGCGTATTTAATCAATCTAAAAATGGGCTTTATCAACACAGTTTAAGAACTTGGTATTTCCGCACACCTCAGTAAGAGCCAGCACCCAGTGAATTTCTCAATAGCATTGTCGCTTCAAAACTTTAGTTACATGAAGTATCATTACTTTCCCACACTGCAAGTATCTAGCACCTACTAGATTAAAAAAACAGACAAATATCCAATCTACACCGACAATTACCTGATAGAGTCCTACAACATCAAAAGAAATCAAATTCAACTCAAACCAAGTGAAAAGCTGTACATAGTGACTTTTTAATAATAACTCTGAGGTGCCATACAAAAAAAAAAATCACCAAGAAAATCCCTTTCCACTTAGTACTGCAAGTAACATTAAAATTATTGTCAGAAACACCAAATGGAATGCATCTTTGCCCTTTCATATTTGCTACTCCGTGCTGCCCTGTACCAGCTTGGGCAATGCTCACTAAGACAGGTGGAAATAAATCATATACCAAAGACATGGGTTCTCTGGATGTTCTACATCATTTAGCAGCACCTGAACTTAAAAAAAATTCTCAGGGCAAAAATGGTTAGAACTAGATTTACGTAGTTGGTTTGGTGTTGGGATCCATCTCATAGCAGGTTAATCATACTACTAAAGATGTTTAGAATAGTTTATCGTAAACTTTATCAAGTCAGTCATTTTCTGAAACAGAAAAAAAATATATTTCCTTAATTAAACATTTCTGAGATATCAAAAACATACAGCAGCATTACATACAATTAGAATTTTATATAAAACGTCTGGTTTCTCAACCACTTTTAAGTAAACTGCAGATTTCCAAGACATATATAGCCCTTTGCTTTCCAATTGATTTACTGATTTTGCACCCTTCCTATCTTCAGAGTTTGAGTATGATCCTTATTCTCACTGAATACTATAACACAGTTCATCCACATACACATTCTTATGACATTAAATCAATTAAGACAAATCATACCACCATACATTTTGGATTTTCACTGAGTGTCCTAACTCTCATTTTGCTTAAAACACAGCTTAGCCCTAGGGCTTGATTTATACACTGCCTGCCAGTAGGAGAGAACAAAAAAAGGCAACTGGACAACTGGAAGTCCAGACTTTGGACCTGCAAGTCCTACAAGCCCAGTCAGCAGTAACCAAAGATGATCTTTTTCTTCATCTTTCCTACCCTTACACATTTGTACAATCATAGGCATTTTTTTATTTTATTCTAATTTTTGAAGTCATCACACCACGCTGCTGAAGACAGCCAGCATCGCACGGGACCTGCACCGGTAAGATACAAAGTCTACTTCAGGTTTACGCCACCCTGGATGTTAATTTTGCTGAAGGCTCTTAGAACAATAACCACTGCAAGTTTATAATTGCTTATAAGCACCACCATCCACACTGCAGCCTTCAGAACTAAAAGCAAAACTAGAAAACGAGAAATTTGAAGTATGACATTTGTATTCAATAACAGAAATGCCCTTTTCTCAACGTGTTTCTTCTGGTAACAGGACAGTGCTCTACTGGACACTTTTCTTCCCAATGTTGCCTGTTCTTCCACTTTACTGCCTAACTGTTATGAAGTCCTTGAATAAGTGCCAGAATGAGACTACTGCTTTGTGAGCCACGTGATTTTTAGTAAGCTTTGCAAGACGGCCGAAAAGGCCACCCGCTCCAATTGCGTCAGGTGGAGATGGTTTCAAGGCAAAAGCACAGAACGGAACCAGAGTGTTCTTTTTTCATTCGTATTCTTGCAGTTTAAAAAATAGAGTATATACAGCTAATAAAAATTTCATTTCAGATGTTTTTAACTGAAAATGAGTTGTTTTCATGGTATCTTAAAACGTGACCTCTAGGACATATCTTAAGACTAGTTACAAAGCGACATTTTTACGGATCAGCTCTTCATTTATTTCTTCCTGCCTAAAATGCCCACCACCTACAACATCTGCCAAACAAGTGCAAGAAGTATAGCTGGAAGACACACCTTCTCATGAGAAATACAGTGAAATTCTCACCGTCCTTTCCCTGACCTTTCCACTCTGGCACCGTTGGTTTTTCACCCCCCCAATTCATTATAGCATTTCTGTAAGTTACATAAACCGTCAATGGTACTGAATCAAGTCATTTATTACCTATACCGAAGCGTTTTGCTCAGTGTGCTGTGCTCATCTGTAGTGTAATTTAGAATGTAATTTCACAGGCTGCTGCCTCACCTGTAGGGGTGCCATCTGGAAAGAGAATTATACCTGACGTCTTTTCCCCACGATGCTGTGGGGCACTCTAGCTTCTGCCCCCAAGAACGTTCCGGGTTTGGTTTGTTTTTTTTTTTCTTAAGCAAGTATTCGCATCCTCAAAATTAATTACTGCAAAGAGATCTCTAGGATACAAATCTGTGAGCCGCATATTAATAATTCAATCTTGCTAGTGGCTAAAGTAAGACACATAAAAGGTGACAGGTTCTCTGTTAAAGACAATCTGAATACACAGCGCATCGTAAATGCTAAGCCGTCATACTATGTGTTTTCTGGCCATTTCTTTCTCAAAATCAACATTGTGTTCCTTATTTTTATATATTAAAAGTTGAAATGAAATAGTTGTTCCCCAGCTAACACCCATCCACCCCCCCCCAACAAATTTGAACAGGACCACACAGCACCATGGAGTTACTCCGTCTGATCATCTGTCCTATGTCATGGCTGTCCAAGAAATCGGCCATCAAAAATGCACGAGCGCACTGAGAAATGTGAATCCAGAGGAATATGAACATCGCTGCATTTCTTAAACATCATTTATATCTGTATTTTGCATTTGTAACAGAATTATGAAAGGCTCACAAAACTTTGACGGCTTAATATCCTGCATTGTTAAATTTTATACAAATACACTACAGCACTCTTAATGTTTATTTTCATTTTAATTCAAAGCTACATAAAAATATTTTACCAATTGATCAAAATTTTAAGTATAGGAAGTTCTTTTAACATTAGTGTTTCAGTATTCATCACAATATGGTTCATGGAAAAAGAGATTAAGCTCTTTAAAAGCATCAAGACACAAGAACACCACAGAATTCTAAAGCATACCTCATTGTGTAGAGAATACTAAAGAAAAATGCTTTGTTTAAAACACAAACTAGTTCAGATTAAAAAATGTCTCTTCATGCACATTTCCCTTAACCGTTCCTATCAAATACCTTAGTGGAACTTGGTTTCGCTTTCACTTATTTTCTAATTGTTAGTGAAATCCATATATATTTCAAAAAGTGGCATGAGCATGTTTACAATAGCAAGAATTGGCAGAATTTTTAGTACAGTAGAAAAAACATGCAAGGATAGAACTAAGACAAAATATTTAACGACTTGAATAAGCGTTGTGATTCCCCTCTGCCTTCCATCAAAGATACATTTTATTATTTTCTGTAATATAACTGAACCTGGTCTGGTACTCCAGATTCAGTAGGGCCCAACACTGAATATTTAATTAGATGAAAGGCAGCTATAAAATCACTGGCCCAGAGAGTGGAGCTTTTTTTTTTTCTTCAAATCCATGTCAGTATAAAAAAACGTAAGTTTCTAACTACAAGGTTTCCATTGGACTGCAGAGTAAAACACTTTACAAAGTATGTAACAGATTGGACAACAGATTCTGATTTATGAAATAAAATGTAATCTTGCATTAACAGATGCACAAAACTGACACAGCCCACTCAATTTTGAGAAAAATTACTTTTTACTTTACCAAATTACTTTTTACTTTACCAAATCCCCCCAAAACCTGTGGCGCATTTAAACGAGAAGCAGCAGCTACATGTAAACTCTTCTGCGTGCTCCGCTGCAGCACCATTTCCCTGACACCAAGTCAGCCCTCATGCTGATCTCAGGTATGATTTTATTTTAAGAAAAAGGAAATAATTCATTACTGGTAGAGCAAACCCACACATTTCAAAACCACAGCTTGACTTTGTTACTATGCACACCCTGTTGTGTCCTTAAATATGAGATGAGTGAGAACACCAAATGGGAAGATGTGAAGAGCTGAAAAGTGATACCCATTACTGGTGTTGGCAAAAAAATAAAAAACAAACTTCATGCAAGATAATACAATTCCTTTATAAAAACCATTTTGCTGTAAAGAAACTAAAACATTCAGCTACTTAGTATGCTCTTTACACAGCATTATTAAAAACAGAAAAAAGGAAAGCTCAATTCTTAGGTAAAATTATAAATTATTGTGTTGAAGAAATAGAACACTTTTATTAATGCACCTCCAAACACTAACAAAAAACCATAGAGAATAGCGAGACTACAGAAAGACTAGTAAGCGTTAAAAAAGCGCCATCACTGCATATCCATCATAGAAATGGGGAAAAGGAGGAAGGAGAGAAAAGATGGATTCTAGTGTTTCAGACATGCTCACTGCCTAGTCCTTTCCCCAGATCCTGAATACCTCCCATCCACAGCCCATCCTGATATTACTTCGAAATTATCTAACACACAAAAAAAGGGAAGAAAAAAAAAAAAAAAAGACACATCAGCTATCTGAGAAATGATACAGTTAAGAGACAAGCGTAGTGGATTCTACCCTTGGTTTATTTTCAGAGTTCATCTCGTTCCCAGTTTTTCCTTGTGTGAAACTCTACTGCATATTCAGTGACGTAAAGCACTGCATAAACCAGCAATTTATGAGAACGCACTGTACTCTAACACTGCATCTCAGACAATCGACTCTCAGTCAGACCCCTTACAAACAACAAATGCAGATATTTTTCAAGCGAATAAAACTCTCAACCTCCAGCTTTATAATCTTAGCTAGAGAAAGGAAGTAAAAGCACACAGAGAGGAAAAAAAAAAAAATCTGCACGCAGATGCAGCATTCCAGAAAAACATTACATACATTTTGTTTCTTTCTGCACTCATCCTTTCAATAAGCAGCCTATGAAGTTTACAATTACCAAAATCCATGTGTGCAGCAACACACCCAACTTTGGATGTTGACAGCAAATCTTTCTTCCCTACTCAGCATTCAATTTGACCAAAAATGAGCTGCAGCACTTTGCAGAGCATCCCTCATTTCAAACTTATACACTCTATGTAAAATGATTCTAATTACAGGAAAACATCACTGTTTCTTAAAACTCGGTAGCTCTGGGGAGAATGCATAAATGTGATCCTGACTGAGAGCAAGTCTACAGTGTACACAACTCCTAACTACTTGCCCAGCACTCATACAAACAGCAGCACATTCAAGCCAAAATTCAAAACTTCTGATGAAATTTGAGGATTTGCAAACCATTTTCAGGTCAAGTCACTAACTGACAAGGGTTTTCCTTCATTACACCAAGGTGTAAACAAATCACTGATGAGTGTTCAGAAACGATTTGCATCAGACTGCCACTAGGCAGAGGAGACGGATACTCCATTAGTTGTACCTTTGCTTAGAAACATAATTCAGGTAAGTCTACAGTTTGAATAAGAAGATATGGTTGGGCCAGATGATCCTTGAGGTCCCTTCCAACCTGGTATTCTATGATAAGAGATTTGTTTGTAGGCGCCCTATGGTACAATCAGACAAGTAAAAAAACGTTAGAGGCTGGGACCTGTAGCCACTAACAATCATGGAATCATAGAATGGTTTGGGTTAGAAGGGACCTTAAAGATCATCTAGTTCCAAACGTCCTGCCACAGGCAGGGACAATAACTCAGCATTTCACAAATTAAGGCTTTCAAAAGTGTCACACATCAGAGCTCCACACAACCAAGCAGGATGGTGCATCAGAAGCTTACGGCCCTGCTATAGAGTATCAAACAATCCTGGACGGAGAAACCTCTACAAAAACAAGGCCAGCAGTGAGATCTTATATGAAATTCAGCTCTTCTTACATTCAAATAACCTTTCTCCAAGAACTGGAAGACTATCTCCCTATAGAATCAGTTTGGTTAGCAGAACAGGCCATTACTTGGCCGTTCTTGTGTTCTTTCTTAAGGCAACATGGTTTACTGGGTGAAAGTGGCTCTTCGGTCCACCTGCTCTCCCCTTGTGCTCCTGGGTCACAGCACACAACAAGTCCTTACATCAGGCTACATACTTCACCAATGTTTTGCTAAAAGGAATGCATAGCTGTCTTCAGAGTGAAAAAGTCTAAATAGATGGCTTTATCTGGGTCTTCAGTAGTCCAACAGGACCTCAATCTTCAATCTGCCTTTTCGACACCAACAGAACAGACAGTGGAAGGTGTGATGAGCTTTCTCAATGGTTTGCATAGTTTTTTGTCAAACACAATCACACAGATGCTCTGCTTATCGTCTGATTTTAACAATGTCAACCGTGCATACTTCAGATGACACAAACAATGCATTTAGTCTGGACATTAAAAGCAAGATCACTGCTCATTTCTTTCACAGGCTTAAATAGAGCCACTGAAGAGACAGTTGCTCATCATTCAGTCTCAAAACTGTATCCAGATGAATTTAAAACTGAAATACATTATCGTGGAAGATGGCAAATATACATTCAAAATATAATTTGGCTATATATATATATACACACACACTCACAACCCCCTATCCACTGTGTAGTATTTAAGATGCTTCTCCCATTTCTGCATATTTTAAGGGAACAAATTTAAAAATTAAAGAGAAGTAGGAATAACAAGCAGTTTGTGGAAGTCATAGGTCACTTACACAATTAAGAGAATGACCAACAGAAGCCATTACGTTGGAGATACTCATAAGGCAACACTGTACCTTTTACAATAGACTGTTCTATGTGCCATCTTTCTCAGAAAGCCTGTTCTAGAAACATTTCTGGGGAGTGCAGTAGTTTTCCTCTCTCCAGCCTCCATTCTGTTGCTTCGCACTTGTTTTTAACTGTCTGATGCTCCATTCGTAGCTCTATAAAAGCTCATAGCGTACTGGTCTTAAGCACTGTTCTGTATCAAGGAAAACAGAACTATGGTTGCACAAAAGGGTTTCATGTTTACTTGTCAAAAAGCAGTTTGTTTTCTAGACACAACACCGACTTTATGTATTTTTGTTACAAAGTAAAACACAGTTCCCCTTTGAATTTTCATGCTAGTCCATAGAGATTCTCTAAATAAAGAGCTGAAAGCTGACATATGTTGGATGCCTTTCTGCTCTCCCTCTTTCCATTTCTAACATTTTCAAGCACTTACACTGACATATTAACAAAAGATTTCACACTGGTCAGTATCACGTAGGGAAGGAAAAGAAAAAGCAAATTCACACAGGAAAGCCAGACAAAGGGGAATCTTCATTTGCATCTAGGCAACATAATGTTCCTTTCTGGACAGTGGTGGAACAGTGCGTACACCGTCCAGCTATCAATCTTACTTCCACGGCATTGTCCTCTTTATCTCTATACTGCAGCAACCTATAAAAATGCTAACATTCCTAAATACTTAGAATACCTAATTAAGTGAAATGCACATGACTATGTAATTATGACATTAAAAGGTAAATTAGCACACAAATGGGAAATATGGAACATTCAATACCTCATTTCTTACAAGAGTTGCTTTTCGAAATCCTTTACTTCACCTTGGAGACACTAATTTACAACATGACTTAAGTTCTTAAGCGCCCCAAGATCCTTTTAAAACCAAATCTTGGGCTGTAGAATGAGAAATATGATTTAGGGAACTTTATTCTTGGTGCACATATTAGGCAACTGATTGGGAGTTTCCCTGAAAGAACTATAATTACATTTCTAGTGAAGTCACTATACTGTCAGAAGTCACCAACCATAACACACTATTTTTAAACTACTAGTTTAAGCCAATGCCTCAAACCTTCCTTGAAACTAGTGACCTCAACACTAAATTAAGCTCATTCTTCAAATAATGTTCCATTATAGCAGTGGAGGAAAAACTTTTGCAGATTTCCAGATCACTTAAATACGTAATATAAACAAAAAAAAAAAACCCAAACCCAAACAAAATACAGAAAACCCAAACCAAACAATTTATTTCCACCTTTATCTGGAAACCAGTTAGATAGATATGGATCCACAGCGAACATGTGACCTCTCTCCCAAAGGCCCTTGTATATAGCAGAACAAACAGAGTTTGTGTAAAAAAAAAAAAAAAACAACAAAAAAACCAAAAAAACAAAGCAAACAAAAAAACCCCAAGTAACTTTGAATATAAGTTTTCATTACTGATCTTACATTTGAAGGACAAAGGAATTCTTTAAGTCCAAACAGTAGAAACTAGCATGAAGAAAATCTGTATTTTGAAGTGGTTTTTGAAGGTCTGCAATATGAGGAGACCAAATAGTAGAGTCCACAAAAAAGAGTCACAAGGGCTGTTTCCTACCACATTTTTTTGCTAGGGAACAAACTTATTCAGTCGCTATGAAGTTCAGCCTGGCACTGGGTCTTGTCACACAGATGTCGTTATTAGGATGACTGGCAGGTAGCAAGCACAACTGTGTCACCAGTATGATGACAACAGTCATCGGCCAGCACATGAAAGAAAGGTAACAGGTCAACGGCTGAAATCCAACAGATTCCAGGAAATACCTCACTTAAAACTTGCATGCTGCATTTCCTGTTGGCCACCATCTTTACTACATACTTTTAAAATCAGTTATTTTATTCTTATACTAAAAAACTGCAATGAATAGTAAAGCTGTTTTAAAGCTCTCTCTCTATTTGCAGATTTCCCAATCCATATTCTCCTCACTGCCTTTCCCACACAGTCCCCACAGTCTTTAGCCACCTTTGTGGACTAAAAGTATTTTACACATCAGAATGATCTGCCTAGATGACTAATACAATATCTCTTCATTACGTTCACCTGAACAGCTACAATAGTATTATTCAGGAATACAGAGTACTTCTGTAGATTTGCACACTAACTGCATAACAAAATTACTGCTGTACCCAAAACCAGCTCAACTGTGGAGACCCTCGACTTGAAAGACCATGAACAAGAGGGATTAGGAATTGTATCCGAGCACCACATAACCAGGTTCGTCATCCCATCTCCCACATTCTCAAAGACACTGTTGCAAGCATGATAAATTTTTCATTAAAAAAAAAAATAGCATCACTTTTAAGAATCATTTTTCAGATGAAATAAAACACATTTTTTCCTGAAAATAATTATGTCTTGAAGAGAATATTCATGCACCTTACCATCCATTCAGATATAATTACATCCACTTTTTCCAAAGGCAGATCTACTTCTTCGATTCTTCCTTTGACTAATGTAATGATATTTTCAAGTTTATTTAATCTGCAAGTCACAACATAAACAAATTAGTTTTTATTTCCAATTTATGCTGTCAAGAGAGATATACTGATGTCTCTATTTCGCATGTCTCCCCCCAATAATTGGTTTTTAACTAATCAAAAAAGCACGAAAATGTGATACTCCTCAGTTATATTTCAGAGGGAATGTTTACAAGTACCCAAAAACTGCAGCAGATCAAGTGCCAGGCAAATACGGCAGACAGTAGATGTGTACACCTCCAACGTGCTGTGCATGCAAATGTGTAAGCTTCAGAAAGCATGAAAACAGAGAAGGGGACAATTTAAAATGATGCTCTGCTTTAGAGTTGCTTGTTCCCAGTTCTCCTTGATTGACCTCCATAGTGTAGGTCTACAGCGATCAGAGCCTACTCATCACACTGGGAGAGCAATGGAAATTAACTTCCTCGCAAAGCTGCTTTGCACGACTTGTTTTTTTTATTTAACAAAACCAGCTGCAAAGTCACTGAGAACAAACATTCCCTCTGGATCAGTATTACAGTTATTCCACAATAAAAGGCATCCTCCCCACTGTGATTTTGGCCAAAATCATCTGCAATTTTAGTAACTGCAGCAATCAGCTATTACCTCATGTGCAAGTAATGGTACAACCATCTCGTATAAGGAGGAAGGTTCTGTGACGTTACTACAGTTTTTGAAACAAAAACCGCATGACAGTGAAATTACTAAATAGGTAAATGCCCAAAATTTAGCATTTTTCTTCTTGGCAAACCGTATTAGTCTTTCTTGCACATACCCTTATTACAGGAGCAATTCTTACAGAGGGCAGAAAAGTATTCCCACCAAAGAAATTTATCTTTCCGCTGCAGTCCTTATCTCTGCCCCTTCCCTCCCTATCCTGATATCTTACTCTTACATTCTCTCTAGCTTTCAATGCAGACTGGTAATGACATTAAAAATTCAATCTAAAAGATAATGGGAGAAAGATCAGAATGAAGGGAGGAAAAGGAAAGGGTCAAAGGGCTACTTGAACATGTGGGCTATTGGAAAGATCAATTAAATACTCTACACACGACAGTATTCTGTTAGAAGAGTAGCAGTTCATCACTAATATCATATTTAATGCTGTTAACAGAAGTAAAATCCAAAGTTCCAAGTGAGAAATAAAATGCTAAAGAGCTATTAGTCACAACAATATTTTAAGAAGGACAAAGAGATCTAAGGGTAACTTCCTAAATGACCAAATACAAGGACATGATTTAAAACAAAAGAAAGGAAAGACAGTAATTCATTACATACTTGTTTTCAACTGTAAGGTATAAAACCCACCAAAATAATGTCATTTACACATTGCAGGAAAAACTGCTGAGATGCTATTGAGGAAATATACTTCAACTTTCTATTCTAGTTAACAGCGATGAATGACAAAAATCATTTACTGCTCTAGAAATTTTAGGGGCAGCTATTCCCAGTAAGAAAGAGAGAAGGCAAGCATTTATTACTATGTAACTTTGGGAAAGAATCCCAAACAAGAAACTTATTCCAGTTCACTTACACACAAGGGTTGCACCGTTTCTAGTAATTAGCGTGCTAGAAATGAACCTTCATTCTGGGAGGGACAAAAGCTCTTGAGCACGTACTTTAATCGGAGGTGGAAGCACACTGCAGTAGGCATTTCTAAGCTACACAGAAGTTTAATATTCCAATAAATATTCGTTACTCCATTACAAGTTTGTCAGCTCTATTCTTTTAGGAAAAGTAGGTTTAACAAGACAAACATAAATTGTTTTGATGTGAACTGAAAACTGTAATGTGAATTGAACGTTTTATAGCAGAAGGTATCTATAAATGTGTAGCCTTAGGGATGGTTCACTGTGCACTCCAAGCGGCAATTCATCACTCTCCAGAGAGCTTAAGGGTTTTGATTTGTTGTTTTTCCTTAAAGGCTTCCCCTTCTCCTCACCAAAGGTAATACATGTTGGTTGGTACTCCTATCATCCTCTAAGTATAAATAACACATAAAGGACTTCTCATGCACTTGTTGAAAGATATGAACCATCCTAAGTTTGTCACGTAGTACATTAGAAATAAAACACCATTTCACATTTGTAACCCCTCTGAAGATGACAAGGGCTCCTGGGAAAAGTTCTCTTTAGAGAATGAGTTCTTGTGCCACAAAAGCATTTTGGTTGAAGTTGCACCTAATGCTTAAGACAGTGTTTTTCTTAAACAGGCTTTTTTAAATGGAATAATTTTACAGCATCCAAGTGCACCTCCAATGTGTGAAGCAGTATCTAATCTAAAACTTTGTACCATTTAAGCTTGCATAAAAAAAGTCAATCCCAAATTCCTCAGTATCTACCTTGACTTTCTTTTCCACAGTTGCTCTTACAAAAACAACCAATCCCCAAAAACCTACATGCCTCCACTACCAACAGTACACATTTTCACCTACATTTCTCCTACCTCATGACAGGAAATACTTTTTAAGTCTTCAGATGCTATTGGTTCATTTCTACATATACTCAGTCTGCCATAATATCCTCTCCAGGTAAATTAGTGCAATGTGGAGTGGATAAACGAACCGTTAGATGGGTGGAAACCTGTCTAGACCATTAAGTTCAAGACGTCAGAGGAAGAGTACAAAGTCTGGCATCTGGGTACCAGAGATGTCCCCTCAGGGTTCAATACTAGTTCTGATACTAAGTAACACCTTTATTAGTGACCCATTGGGACAGAATGCACCCTCCACAAGTCTGTGGATAATATTGAATTAGAGGGGAGCAGTTGACAGAGGGTTGATAGAGGGTAGGGCTACTATTTAGAGGGACCTCAGACTGTAGAAATGGGCTGACAGGACCCTCAGAGACCCAGATGAAGACCTGCACCTTGGCTGGAATAACGCCATGGGACAGTACAGATTGGTTCCTGCTGGTTAGAAACTGGCTCTGCTTGCTTTCCCACCCAGCCCTGATGAGGAGCTGGGTGAACAAGTTGAACATAAGCTAGCAGTGGGCCGTTATAGCAGCAGGTCAAGGAATGTGATCTTTCCCCTCAATGTGACACCTGCAAAACTGCATCTGGAGTACGGTGTCCAGGTGTGGGCCCCCACTACAAGACATTGACATGTCCCTTCCACCCTGTATTATTCCGTGACAGTTCACGTGGCATGCACCATATTCGTAGTTCCCCTGAAATCAACTTCTCCCGGCAACTCTGCAGACTGTGTGTGCACGTCTGCGTGCATGCTCTAAAAATAGCGCTTTTTTTGCCCTCAACCTATAGTAATTATTACAGCGTGATGGTAATCACCTTCCAATGAGCATGAAAGCCAGAGGACAGTAGGTTTCTAAAGAAACAAACTAAGGATAACATACACTTACTATTCTCACAAAGAGAGAGTCTCCCTTAAACATACTAACGTACAGAGAACCTTACTAGAGAAAGGTTTTCCACAAGTTAAAACTGAAATACCATATAATTATAAGACCTGTTCTCCAAAGCAAGCTTTGTATGTCCTAAACACAGTGAAAGCTAACTGATGCATGACAAGCTTTTGTTTAAAAACACCACAGCTCCAACACCAAGGCCTGAAATATATAGAGATCAACCCAGTAAAAGTTGTCTAATTTTCTGTAACAGAAAATTAAATTATAGAAATTATATAACTACAGAAAATTTCTATATACAAACACGTATATTACTGTTTAATTTTCACACAATTGAACACCTTCTGCTGAGTTTATCTACATCAGAACTGTTTCCCTAACTCAAAGTAGTGCAGCCAGGAAAAGTTTCTCACATCCTCTCGGAATGCATCTCAACTTTGTTGTCTAGAATTTTAAAATGTTATCAGTAGCACCATTTAAAGCGTAAGAGTAGCAAATGGAGTGGCAGCAGTCAGCTGGAGCCTCCCCAGCAGGGCAGCACTGATCGTACGCTAACATTAGGAGGAAGGTCTGAGAAACACCCTGCCTTATCTACAGCCCTGTTTTAATTCCCTCTATCAGAGAAGCAAACCACTTGAGTGCACATCAAAACCTGTGTTAATTCTTAGGACAAAGAAGGACTTCAGTAAAAGACATATTGAGTGATAGGTGATCATTAACTTCTAACAGCATTTAAATAACTTTTTACAGCAACATTTAACATGCTTTTCTCAGAACTTCTCCTACCTGATGATGTCCATGGCCTGATAGATGATTTCAGACTGGTCGACTCCAATCACTTTCTTCGCACCTGCTTTGGCAGCAAACATGGAGAGTATTCCAGTTCCACAGCCAACATCCAAAACCACCTGAAACAAATAGGATGTTTATTTTGACCTTCATCTATTTCCCTTGCTATGGTTTTTCTACTCGTCTTTCTACATGAGTGCGATATGATATTCTAACAGATGGAACAAATGGCAGCATCAACTCTTACATTCAGAGATATCCAACTCAAACCACAGTTCTAACTCTACACCCTCTGCTACCTTTTACAGACAGACAACGAAGCAGACTATCTCCAGCCACAGATTAGATCACTCACATGGGAAACGCTCACAAGCCCAATTCTTTAGGCAACAACTAAAAAGTTAGGTGAACAGGAAAAACAGGAAATGAGAGCCTGAGCAATTTTAATCAGTGAATCACTAACAATTCAGTTTAGCATCCACACTGAAAAAACATATTCTAACTGCAGTTTTTCATTAAGAGTCTATTCAGAAACATTGTTTCAGAATTCTCTGCTAGAAATGGCCAGTGCTCAAGGTGACTAAATTTCAAAATGGTGACTGACACAGTTTTAACACCTGGAAATATTTTTCTGACACTATTTATAATCAAAATAGGACCAAAAAAAAATAAATCCAGGAAGATGGGATCCCTAAGTTTTCATGAAAGAAACAAAAACCTTCAGCTCTACACTTGAAAGAAGTACACTCAACATAGCAACAAGACTCATGCAAATGCTGTTTTTTGATATCTCACATATTAGCTACTGTAGGAAGACTGAAAAGTTTAAAAATGCGAAGCAACTAAAGACAATAGTACCAAACATACTAATAAGTAGAGTTGAGCTGCCAGCAGTGTTGCACTTCATAAAGCAGAGATTTTACCAAGTAGCCTTGTTCAGGCCTCAGTATCATAAGAGTATATTTCTTTTAACTGCTGGAAACTTCTCAACAGCTTAAAAACTAACACTTTTAATCTTGAAAGCATTGCAGTAGGTTTTTAAGCTATCAGTTTCACATTTGATCCTTTCACAAAAACACAGAATTGTTGAGGTTGAAAGGAACCTCTGGACATCACAGTCCAAAGCAGGATTCAACTAAAGCAGGTTGCTCAGGACCACGTTTGGATGGCTTCTGAGTATCTCTAAGGACAGAGACTCCACAACCTCTCTGGGCAACACGTGCCACTGTTCAATTGCCCTCACAGTAAAAAAGTGTTTCCTGATTTTTAAATGCAATTGCCTGGAGTTCAACGCATGCCAACTGCTTTCGTTCTGTCCCTGAGCACTGCTGAGAATAACCTGGATCCTCGTCCTTTACTGTCTCCCCTGACCACCAGGCATATATACACACTGATAAGATCTCCCTTGAGCCTTCTCTTCTCCAGACAAGACCACCTCAGCTCTTTCAGGCTCTCCCTATGTCAGAGATGCTCCAGTCCCTTCATCACCTTCGCAGTCTTTCACTGGACTCACTCTAAGACTCTCATCTCACTCTTGCACTGGGCAACCCAGGACTGGGCACAGCCCTCCAGAAGTCATCTTCCTGTGGTACAAGGGAAGGTGCATCTCCCTTGACCTGCTAGTGGCAAGTCTTCTTCCTAATGAAGCCCAGGAGGCTGGTTGGCTGCCTTTACCACAAGGGTTTGCGTTGCTGGCTTATGGTCAACTTGGTGTTGAGCAGGATGCCCAAACTCTGCAAAGTTGCTTTCCAGCAAGTAGGTCCTCAATCTCTGTTGATGCATAGAGTTATTCTTCCCTCCCCAGCTGTAGGATTTTGCACTGCCCTTTGATTGCCTCAAGCCTTTTGTACAGGGGCCCCGTTGGCCCATTTCTCCAGCCTACAGAGATCCTTCTGAATGGCAACACAACTATGTGATGCATCAAGCACTCCTCCCAGTTTTGCATCACCTGCAAATTTGCTGAGGGTGCATTCCGTTGCACTGACCAGATCATCAGCCATCTCACTGTTAAGACTTCTACTTAATACAGTTAAACTTTACTAACAGTGTTAAATTCCAAGCACTGAACCCCAAAGCGTTCTGAAATCTCAAAATCAAAACCAGTTTCCTAAACACTATGTGCAGTCATTTGTATCATGCACAGCATTAAGCATTAACAGAATCAGAACTGTAAAGACAGACCGCCTTTCCTATACAAGAGACCTAAACAAGAGAGTAAGCACAACTTACTAAAACACTTATAAGCTAACACGAACACTGAGTCAGAATTACTAGTCATAAAAGTAATTTATTAGAAAGGAAAATTAACTTATTTCACTGTCTCTCCTTAGCACAGCATCCAGTGCTCTAAAAGCTGTCCTCACAGCTTTCATGATGCTAATTTTTTTTCCAAAGAAGGCATCAAATCACTCAGTAATCAATCCCACATGTGAGAATTATAAACCAATTTCACAAAAATATTTCAAGGCAATAATGCACCCTACTGACAAACTTTCTAGCTTATGAGCTATTGAGCATTCTTGCTTTGGCACAACAAAAACTTGCACATGCACTTTTCAATTTCACCTGGCAAATAGTATCCAAGTAAGTACTCAAATGCTCTGCACATTAAGTCTGCTTGCCTTGCATACAATTCTATACCTTTTGATGATGGATACAGCGCAATGATTCTGAAGCCAGCGTGAATAAAAAATAGCCGTTTATCCTTAGCAGCACAGTTTAAGTGAGCTTCTGCTGTGGCGTACTGGGAAGCAATGACTGAAGAGTTGACTGGCACCTGTCTTCATAGAGCAACTTACAATCTGGAATCAGGCTACAAAACATTAGCGCGATGAATTTTTTTTTACAGCATCTTGTGTAGAGGCTGGCCACCGAAGTTGTGGGCTGAGTTACTTGTTCCACTCTGAATTCTTTGCAGTTATGTTCCAATAGGAGTCAATTCTACAACTCATCCACAAGTTACATGAGAGTATGTAATGGCTACAGAAATCCCTAGGCTGAAGTCTTCTGGAGACAGGAATAGAAAATAAAAATCAATGTTCTTGCAGCTGCCGAAATCTCACATCCCCTAACATCATCTATTCTAACACTTTACCCATGGTAGTTAACAAAATTGCTGAGCCATGAAAGCTGGAAGTCAGAGCCAAAAATAAACCTCTGTGAAAGAATGATCTTGATGTACAGTTGCATGAAAGAGAGCAATCACCACAAATTGGAAAAAAATCAAAACAGACACCACTTTGGACAGCTGCCCTGGTCACTTAAAAATCCAGATGGAACTCATCTAGCCTTAGGCAGGGGACGGGGGTGGAGAAAAAGGCACAGGAGAGAAAATATACAAGCTGGAACACATCTGAGAAATGGAAAGACAAGCAGAATGATCACCAATTAGCCTAAGGACAAGGGTCTACAGCTAACGCATTCTTGCGGTGATCACATATGGCCTCTCACCAGAGATCTGGAGCAGCTGGACTAGTGATTCGACTATACCGTAATGTACTGCAGCATCACATCCTTCTCTGCAGTCTATTCAAAACCGATATTCTCCTTCCAATAACAGAAAAAATTACTTCAAATTCAGAAAAACAGGAGGTCAGGTAATTTAGCCAATTAATTCCATCAATGGACTTTTAGTAGGAACAATGTTTAAAGACTCATGTCTCCCCCTCAATGTGGCATTGATGCCTGCCCTCAGACTTCTGTTCTACAAAAAAAACAAAGCATGGCAATAGCGCTTTTCTAACCAATTATTTTTTGCACCAAAAAATACTCTCGCTGTAAAATGGATCACGTTTCCTTTTTCTGAGTAAGGCCACCTTAACCACTCCTGCTAGGTAGTCTAAACTGTCCTATTCTCATCTCAAGTACAGCCAACAGGTTGAAAATAAAGTCAGCAAGCAGGATTCATTCAAGTTTTAATAATTCCTTTTGAAAGCTGAAAGAGAACAAATTGCCTGGTTCTGAATTGAGTATGCCTAATAAACAAACGTAGATATTCTGTTATCTGTCACCATGCAATCGCACCTTTTTGGGATACTGCAGATTTGCACCAAAAGCGAGTATGACCAATTAAGATCTTTGAACAAGCTTCTCCCAACCCACCTCACAGGTGTCCTTTAAGAAACAACAAAAAGCATCAGTATGTGTTTTCTAGGGAGGAATACCGCATAGGAGTTCTAGGAAATACAGTATCAGACTTCTACTCACTTTTTTCTTTTTTAATTGTAATCGAACTTTAAGGGAAAACACTCTATTTCCTCAATTGGAAGTTTCACTAATTAATAAGGTTCTGAGAGTATCATACGATATGTAAGTTAAGAAAAACATTTTAACAGTTCCTTCAGCAGAAATCTGTAACAGATGTCGCTTCAAAGCTAGATCTCTGAAAAAAAAAAAATAAAAAAAATCCCACACTTTCTCCATAACAGCATACCAAGTGAAAGCTACATCAACATTTAGTCAGACACAGAAGTTAAGTGGGGCACTGGTCACCTGGATGGAAGCTGTTGGGAACTCAAAGCAACTGAGAATCTTTCTTTCCATTCAACTTCAACACACTTCAATACGCTATGAGGGGTTTGGATACACTACAAATTTGAGGTCAAAAAAACTGCCATAAAAACACTGAGTTCAGAAGCAAGTTTGTTCACGTTGCGATAACAGACAAGCTTTTCTTTAAAAGTTGAATGCTTCCACATGAATTAAAACACACAGAATAAGCACACGCATTTTCTAGCAGATTCGTGAGCAAGCAAGCGCATCTACAGCTGGGGTTGAAGCAGTGTTGCCTGTAACAGTTCATCCATGTTTGGTTTTGAGTGTCACTAATGCGTACATACAACAGAGGAGATACACAACCAATCCTGAAAAATTACTGTACCATTAGGACATACATTCTACGTAACGTCAGATCAGTCTTAACCTGTGAAAACCTGTAGTTATCAATTTTAGCGGCATCTGTGAAACTAAATTTCTCTCAAGAAAGTTTTCTTTCCTTTATTGATCCTTCTGCATTGTTGGATGAGCCGCCCAGCTATGCAGTCACCCGCATCTTTTAAGGAGCTGACAGCATAAGGTTTCTACAACACTTTCACTTGTTCTCTCATTATAACTAAAGAGCTTAGAAATGTTTAACAGAAAGAAGCTTGTGACATAGATAGAAGCAAAAAGGAAGAAAACTCTTTTCCTAATATTTTTCTGCTGTTGTTGCCAAAAGAAAACTGAAGTAAAACATAAAAAGAGTATGCACTATCTACCTTGAAATACCTCCCACCTAGGACAAAAACGTATCTAGCACAATTCCCAACTGAGGAACTATCAGATGGTTGCACTTTTATTACTTCCACAACTATTCCGAAGCCTTGTATTATCACTTATTAACAAGGTCTCAATCAAAACCTAAATAAAAATCAACACTGATTGCCTTCCATAAACCTAAACATCCTGGTTTCACATTAAGAAACACCCATACGCAGCTTAAGAACAGTAAGCATTAAGTAGAGGAAAACTAATCCAGAACAGAAGGCTGCAGAGTGTAACTCAGAAAGCAACAAACTCAGCAGAAATAGCCAGCAGAAATACAAAAAACAAGAGGATCCTAACTTGCAGGGGTCATAACCACAGTAAGATCATAAACAAGTATCATTGCAATCTCTCCTTCCAACAAGTGAAATACTAGTTCCCGATTCTAAACCCCTTAATAATAACCTAGTCTGGAGAGACTAAACAACCATAATTCAATAATCAGTTGCATTAAACCAGTTCTAACTACACAGTGCTTCTGGTGTGTTTCTACTGTACCAGGCACAAATTGAAATTCACTTAAATTGTCGTAAAGAGGCCCTCTAAGATAGATTCCACTTAATATACTGGAAAAGAAAAGCTCAACTTAACCCCGCCAATATAATTAATGAACATCCCGACATGGCACACAGAACAATGACAATAGCGATCAGCACTTCTGTTATCAGCACTTTCCACCCTCCAGCAGTAGAATAGCACTCTACCACCTAATAAAGCCCGAGTACATTAAATCAAATCTTGTCAGCGGGATATTCCATTCCCAAAGCTACAAAGTAGCCAACCTGAAGGATTTCTACCACCGGAAAAAAAATAAAGCGCAGAAATTATTGTGTTTCCAGAGCTGTTTTACCTACCTTGTCCTTGAAGATATGTGGGTTTTGATAGATGAAGTCACGATAGCTTTCTGTACGCACTTTATCCTATGATTTAAAGAATAAAAAGAAGTGTTCACTTTTTCTGCTTAGTTGCAGCATATCATTCAAAAACGCTGAACAATTCGCTTTTAACTTGGCCTAAAGATGTTTTGTAGCTACTGCGTGTATAAGGGTTCTGCAATCATGACACTTCTTTCAGAAATTACTGTCTTTGCAAATGAAGCCAGCTGAAGTCTTTAGAGGAAAAATAAGAGATTAGCTTACACTTTACTGACCTACTGCATTTGATTTCGGTCGTTTCAAGTTCTTAACACCTCTTCACCACTTTACAGGAACAGCAGAAATAGAATGGCAACACTGCATCAACTTTACATAACAACTTCTTATACAATCGTAAAAATTTGAGCCACGAGTTCATAAAAACATTTCATGTCATTCTATTCTGACACTCATGAGACACACAGATTCCTCCAAAAAAAGTTACGGATCAGATTAACCTTTTCTATTTCTGAACAAACTGCAAGTTTGCAACTCTGAAGACAAGTCAGTAATTGAAGCTGTACAGCCCATTCTATGAAAGCCCAATATAATAAATAGATAAACCTAACTGTAATACAACATGACCTAAGAAGCTGGAATGTTTTCCAGCATGTAACTAAATATTTATAGTAGCTTAGTATATGAAAGCTAGCAGTATAGCTCAACCTACCAGCAAGGTTATCTATTAAAACACCGATTCCCTTAATATGCATCAGCAGGTACACAAACTGACAGCCAAGTATAGGTTTTGGAATTGCTGTTGCAGTTCAAGTGTTAGAGCAAAGTAAAGGAAAAATTTTAAGCATCTAGTAAAGACAATTCTATAAATAATACCGAAGTATAAAATCTAACTGCTTATACTTAAGCTAACATTTTTCTACTGTGGCAAGTAAGAATTCTTAGAAACAAAACATAAACCAAAGAAATTTTCTCTAGTGAGAAAGAACAAAGTCTATTTTATTAGAAAAACAAGATCATAAACGGAGATTGTGAACAAAAGATATGTTCATAAAAATTCTGGAGACAAAGCAAATTATTTTGAGGCTTGAAAATCCTAAAATCCAGTTTTAAGGAGGATTATCACAAACACACACAGAGCCCAAAGAAACAGTTAGTGATGATCTTAGAAAATTATACTTTAAAATTATACATAATTAACAGGCATTGAAATATCGTGATCCTTTAAAATCATATTGGTTTACTCTGACGTTATACTCAGAGCAACTATTTTTAGTACTTCACCTCTATTGCAGTATATAATAGGATTTGCTGAAACAACCAAAAAAAGTTAAAAAAAAAAATAATCAGAAGGTTCAGCATCAATCAAGAAAGCAGTCAGCTGGAAAGCTTTCAGCCTTACATCCTGCCCACTCACATTGCCTCAGCACTGCTCCAACTTAATCAATACAATTCTAGCTGCTGTCTCTGCTATATGCACTGCTGCTCGAGTAAGCCACGGTCATTCACTTCAGGTCTCTCTATTCATCAATTCCATTCTCTCACTCACCATTTCAATGTAATGCTTTTTTTGTTTGTTTTTCAATAAAATGGTAAGGAAATTTATTGATATGATAGTCAAGAAATTCTTGAGAAAAAAAAAATAGAGTAAAGGAAACGCTAACCATTTAGCCAGTATAATACAACTATACTCTTCCCCGCCCATCTCTGAAGTATTTGCAGAAAAAAAAAATGAAAAGAAAAATTGAAACTTCATCCTACCACTACCAGGCATAAGGAAAAAAGGTTTCAAAACTGAACAGTGTCGGAAACAGACTTAAAATTCAGACAGCAAGGCTCCTTTCTTAAAAATGTCAACGAAGCAAGCCACTATATTTATATAAGGTAGACATACAAAGAAAAAAAATAATCAAAGTAAATGCTTAGCATATAGGAAAAAGTTCTATGCACACATGATAAAAAGCAATTTTTTTCCTATGTTTACGAAAGTGAAGTCATCTTCAAAGCATTCTGACAATCATTCCCTGAAACCAGTAAAATACGATTTTGTACCAACCTCCATTTGTAGCATTCTCTCTGCAGAATTATTATAAACTTCATTAGCACACAGAAACACTTCCTCATCCTATAGCCTATAACATCTCAGGCAACACCTTTATACAATAGCAAACCCAAACTTCTATCATTTTATTTATCTTCAAGACTTAAATCGTATTTGTGTAGACTACACATTTTGCAAAACATTCTTCTACTTTTGCAGACATCTCTGGGCTTCTGTAGAATTTCCCCCCTTAAAGTTAAGCTCATGCTTATACTATTCTTAACATAGATTCATGTGTATTTCTACTTTGGGGCCACTAAATTATTTACAAAGCAGAAAACTTTATATGCCACCTGGATGACAGAGTTACTTCACAACTTCATATTCTATCGCCACATAAAGCAGAAATTTTATTTACTTATGCCTTAAAATGAAAAAACTGTTTCTCTCACAATTTTGACATTTTCTCAGAAAGAAAACATTAAGAGATTTTGATTTACATGTCAATTATAAGTTGTTGGGTTCTGATTTTTTGTGGGGTGTTTTTTTTTTTTTTAAGTTAAAGGGCATACACAGGCTTGCCTTTGAAGAGTTTTAAGTATTAGTTTGTCATATAAAAGGAGGATACAATTTTTGCAGCTGTTCAATGTCATGTTATCAATACAATGAACTGTGCAGAAACACCAACAATTTCAGTTTACTTAGTGCAATAGGAAACCACAATATTTGACAAATGGTTTTGCCTAACCAATTTCACTTGTTAGAAAAATATAAACTAAAGAAAAACATTCACTGTCTGTACCACATTTTATCCTTTATCTTTTAAGCACTCAGGAAAAAGCTGGTTTTGGCAAGATAAGGTTGTGGTACAGATATTGTAATATATCTTCAAGCATAGCTGTAGAGTAAATGATTTTATGTTCCTAATGCTTCCCTTAAACAGAATTTAAACAAAGGAAATAAAACTGGAAACAGATCTCTCTACCCAACCCCTAGGAAAGAACTATCATGTATAGAAAGGGTTAAAAATGCAGCTGCTCTGCAGTATATTAATGGGCACACAGCCCACTTCATTCCATCTTTCCTCTTTAGTCCTACTAAGATGCAGTTGAGACGACTTTCTAACCTTTAGCATCTCTTCATGTATCCCATAATGCCCATAGGAGCTGAAGTAAACACCATCCTCATCCTCCTGAAGGTCTGCAATGGCGCTGGATGACGAGCTGCTCCTGACATCTGCATTCATCACAAAATCCTGTGCAAATTGTCTGTAATCAATTTGAAATATACCCTTGAGACATGTTTATGGGACCACGAAAAAGAGGCGGGGGGGGATGGGGGGCAGGGGGGAGGGGCTCGAAATAGGTACAGAATTCAGCCTGCACAGGGGTTTTTACAACAATGGGACCCATTTTAAATGTGCAGAACCTCCCTCTGCTGGCTCCTCCAGGCTGCTGCACCACCATTTTCTGTCCATCACCCTCCTGCAGTGACTTTCTGTTTGCAACCACCAAATCTCAGCAGTGAAACATTCGGACTTCATTTCTGTCTTTAAGGAGCAATTATCTACTTTGCGCTTGCTAGTATAAAAGCCAGTACCACAGTGGTGAAAATAACATGTTTTAGGTTGTGTAATGCACATATGGACTCAATACAACAAAAATCACAAGAACAATAAACTGTACAACACTGTACGACTAGCAGAAGGTGGAATCATTTAGGTGGAAACAATTAAGAGCTTAACATTCAATTTAACTTTATTTTTAATCCCATGCTGCTACTTATTTTTCCTCCTTTGTGGCCTTGCATTTCTAATGCGCATGTTCTCTTCTCATTTCTAAAAGCAGTTTTGATGACAAAAATACACAAATCAAAGGGTTTATCATGAAAATTCAGTTTTCACGATAAAAAAACCAGCTCATACTGTACCTACAGTACCCACTGTACCCATATTATTCCTCCAAGGTCTACAGTCCAACATCAAAACTTGCACCCTAGACCCCTCCAAAGCAGCCAAACCTCACTTTCAACAGCGGGCATACTTTCTTAAATAGGAACTTAATGTATAAAAGCTGCAGTAACATCTTATTAACAGCCTTAGAGAACAACAAAACCAAATATACTGTTTAAGTCCGGACATGTCAAATACTTCTCAGCTTAACCAGTTTGGATGGGGAAGAGAGGATGGCAAGGGAATTTGTATTAAAAGTTTGTGAATATCAGAAACTTCCTATACCTTCTGACACACAGGTAAAGTCTGGATCTTATTTTTAACATTGTTCTTTACCATAGTAGTTTTCGTTTTCCTTAATCGTAGATAAATATCAAAATGATAAAAATGGAAACGTACAAAAAATAGCTTCTATGACATACAATTAAGTATATTTAGCATTCGTTAAAATTTAAACCCCATTTTAAACTTAAAATTATTTAAAATTGATTCAGCCTATAGTTCCTTCAGCCTACGCATGCAGTAAAAGCACCAAACAAACTCTAGAGACTGAGCTGCCCTTGCGTCTTTTTAATCAAGAAAAGAGAAGGTAAAGACAAAAGCCATCATCTCTAAGTGGGGGACAGACGAAAAAATTCAGGATATACAAGCCATGCTCTTAAATCTCTAAGTTACACCAAACACTAAAGCTAACCTGGTTTACAGAGCTGTTAGCATTTGTGGGGGGGAAACAAAGAGTCACCAGGCCTCCAGTTACCTGCCTTTGCTTTGTAGTCCTCATCATTCAATTCTCATCATTCTGCAAGTCTACTCAGTTTAGCAAACTTGGAAAAACATTTCTGCAGAAATTATTTCATACTCAATTAGGGGGTGTCCTCTTACTATTATTATTCCTGGGCTCCAAAGGCAACAATCTCTAGGGAGCTGCATGACTGATCCCAAAGAGGCAGTCATTAAAAAAACAAAAGTATTTTTTTCACATCTTAGAAAGCAAGACCTGTATAACACAGTCCAAACTAAACCATTCTATGATTCTATATTGTAGCTGAAAGAAGTTACAGTTACTTATAGTCTCCTAAGAAGTCTCTGTAGGTAGGTATAGTGTGAGAAAGCTCCTAGATCTAGCTTTTTTTTTTACTCCAGAAGTTGAAGTCAGCCAAGCAGCCTGCCCAATACTGGTATAGACCTATTTCCATGACCAAAAAAAGTAGAAAACCACATAATGTCCATTAAGGTCCTGTACAGTATTCTTGCTCCACATCAAACTTCCACGTTTCCTTTCTGATGAACCTCTGCAAAATAAAGGTAACATCTGTAGATGGTCTCTCAGTGGAGTAACCTCCAGTATCACCACGATGTAGCATGTAGGCTACTACAATGCAACTGGTTCATCTGTCTGTAATTTAAAACTGTGCTGCTTCATCAGATCTACATCTGGCTATTTTTGCTGCCAGACCCCTGCCGAATTGAAAAGCCTGCACTGACGTTTACAAGTCATCTACCAGATAAAAGTCAAACCTACAGTCCCAACATAAATCATGAGTTTTCCTCTGTAGTTACATTCTACCACTTCGTTGCATTTCTACTGGTCTTTAAACATGAACATCCCATCTCACCTAAAACACACATCAAATTAAAAAAACCCCAAAACTTCAGTTCAAACACTTACTTCATTTTTTGAAGATCATCTTGTGCTCTGGCCAAGGATGCTTCTGCAAGTCTTGCTCTGTGTTCTGCATGTTTTAATTGTTCAAGGAGCACCATGGTATCATTTAAACCATTAGAAGGCACAACATTTGCAGGTTCACAAAGATCTTCTATATCTGATGAAAGGGGAAGCAAAAAACACCTATCGGTCACGTGTTGCTTCACCGCAGCTCATAAACATATGTTTTCAGTGTTGCTATTTCAGTCTTTGGATGATTTGTAAAAGTAGTCTGTGTTACGACTGAATCACTGATTTTGATAGGACTAACTATAGAACACAATGCTACTCAGTAAAAGCAAGTATACTGTGCACAAGCTTTAAGTTGACAGAACAAATAAATCCAGAATTCAGGCTTCTTCAAATACCAGTGTTTGATTATTGATAAAAGAAACTTTAGATTTAGACTATAATTAAGTTAATTACAGTCCTATCCTCTATTTTTCCAGTTACGTTATTCTAAGGGGAAAAGGGCTGTTAACGGTAATGGTGAAAGGAAAGAAGGTATATAAATTAAAAATTTCTTAATTAGACAGTGACTTCTAGCTTTCAAGTGAATTGCTTGGGCTTTTATAAAGCTTATGAACACACAAAACTCAAAAGAGCATAATCGGAATGAATCTAGATGAAACATTGTTTTTTAACTACCAAACCTCAGACTCGGCACTTGTTCCCGTTCACCTCTTCTAAACTCAGCTGGTGATTTCAACAGATGTCAACGAATAAAAAAAAAAAGTGCTACTGTGGTTTTGGGTATAGTAAGAAGTTAATGCTAGCCTAGTGGGCAAAAGATTTCATTAAAAAAACATGTATCTATTCCTTTTAACCGTGGAAGACTGACTATTTAGCCCGTGGGACTGAAATAAAGCATAGACATTTAAAGTAACATTTCAGAGGTTGGCCACACTCTTCTTGATGCACCCACTCCCTTAACACTTTAGCAATCGCAACAGCACCTCAAAACATCTGAAAATTCTACAGCTTGGGCAAAGAGCACACATTAGGCAGGAGCCGATACAGTGAAACGCAAAATCCCCGAAGTAACCAACCAATGTTCTCTACCACACATTATCTCTGCTACTATGCATCAGGACTTGCTTAAAAAAGGGGAAAAACTGCATTCCAGACTGTATGGAGAAGAAAAAAAATCCACAAGCCCTAAGTACCTTATGGTTTAGGTGAAAGAAAAATATACAATCAAGTACAAACTAGGAAGAAAGTGGGAGGATCATGGGCAGCAAAATAAGTTCAACAGGCAAACTGGATTCTCTCAATCCATCCGATGAACCGTCATGAGAAAGAAGCTAAAGCTGCTTGTACTGACTGCTAGAACCGCTAAAGCAGCAGAACTCTTCTATGCAACTGTAGTCTATTACACTGGGTTGGTCTGAAATAGAACCTGTATAAAAGATGAAGATAATTTCAACATAGCAAATTACTTACTCTTTACTTAGAGCTTGTATTTTTGAATTAATGCATCTGATTTTTAACACCTACATTCAGAAGCTTTAAAAGCTTCATCCATCTTCCAGTGAAGCTTGGGTGGAGTACCTCTTTGACCTGCTTAATTACTACATAGAGCACCTCTGCTGTGAACATCAGATCTACAATAAGCGAATACAGACAACAGAACAGGCTTACGGAAATCTTAGTTATTAAAAACCAGCGTATAACATATGGTAAAAATTTCAGATCATAACTTAATGTCGTGACTTCAGCTAGTGTGCTGACTTTCTCTTGTACGAAAGTCAATTAAATGATAGCAATGATGCTTCATGATGTGAACTCTGCCAATAACACATTTACCCCAGAATGCAGTATGGTCATACCAAAACATATTTATTTACCAAACTGAAGTAGAAGATCATCTTCTAGCTCTGGTTTCAAATACTCCTCTCCTTCCCAAGGCAGTGGGCTGCTGAGAGAACTCAAATACGCTGCTGTTGGTTTCTAGACAGAAGGAGAACACCACACAAGCTAAGTTTCTTTGAAAACACCAGGCCTTCAATTTCATTCAAGAAAATAAGGCAAAGATCTGTTCTTCCACCCATTAAAATAGTATTAAAGTAGCTTTGTAGCAAAGGCTGAGAGAGATACTACTTTCAAGCAAGAACAGTGAAGAAATGAACTTCTGGCTTCCATGCTGGCTCTGACAACAGGTACTCACCTTCGCCTATCGCCACTACAGCTGCGGTGACCACAGAATAGCATAAAACTACACCTATGAGTTACTCTGGGCCCCAGAGCCCAGGAAGCTACAGGCTCAAGGAATTCAGTACAAGCAGTAAAGCACAGCACATTTATCAATGTTGAAGGATACTTGTAGGATGCCACTGCTACGAGGAACCAAGTTTATACAGGTGTTTGACTGCGTCAGACCCATAGCTTACAACAGGGCGCATCAATAAAGCCAAGATACTAATCATACAAAGCATTTTTTACACGAACAGCACTGTAGGGACCAGTTTCAGAAATGTTAAATTCTCTCCTGTTTACATCTGGCCAGTTAATAGTTGGTCAAGAAAGGATAGGGAAAAACTGAAGTCCAGAATCTGACCTTTCTGTGTTTCCTCGGCATAGCTAGTTATGCCTTAAATAACTATTTAAACACTTAAGATTTGAAGAATTAAGTAAAAAAATGCTTATTTATGTAAGATCATATTAAGTCTACACCTGAACTTTTAGGCAACAACCGAAGAACATACTTCAAAATCACAGAATACACAAAATATACCCAGGCCTAACTTAAAACTGCAGGTTCCCATCAGCTTTCCTGATTCTGGTATCATTATAGCAGAGATTAATTTTAGATTCTGTGACCTAAGGGTTCAGGTGTTGCTGTTACTAACAATGCAGTAAGGGTCTGGCCAAGACTCTGAAGCCATTCCTGGAGTGAGACAGCAGAGTCAAAGCAGAGATAAATTAAGAAAACATGACAATACTACATAGGATAGGCTTTTTGCAAGTCTTACCATCCTCTTCTAGAAACAGTAAAACTCACATTGAAGAAGAAATACATTTAAAATGCAAACAACTTCACATCTAAATAAACCAATCAACAGCTATTTTAATTCCTCTGATTTCTTATTTCTAGGAATATAATACAAAATTTCATACAGTTATTTAAAAAGAGCAAATTGAAAGCACAGCATCTCAACTTCTCATTCTACAGACACAGGTTATGGAAGTAATACGTGACACACCTACCTTTAATCTAACGAAGTTTATTAGTTTAATGTAGCCATAAAAATCAAGTCCTGAAAAGAAAAAAAGAGATCTTGCATTATAGAAAGCCCACATGCATTTTACAATGTCATGAATACTAATTACTTGTTCAATTGGCCAGCTTCCCTTGGGGTATACATCATTATTGCGTGCAATCTTCCCATCTTAAGTTTGCCATTTACATTTTCCTTCTCTTCAGGACCAAACCAGGAAATTCTCACCCTCAAGGCAAATACATTTACCACAAATTAAGAACGGAACACGTGAAAACATGGATTATGAACAGGGATGTCATCCACTTGGCAAGCAACTACATGAGGACAGCCATGTCTATCTCCTACCAGCTACCTTGCTGATATGTTAGGCTGCTGTTCTCCTTTGTTCGTATTTTTAGCCTTCTGCTTGATAAAATATAAGTTGATCCTAATCAAGAATACACACCAACATTGATTTAAAACTGCCGCCTTACTCAGAAGTAACAATAATTTAAATATAATTATGTGCTTTCTTCAAGAATGGTGAGGATACTGCATAAACCCAAATTACTGAGTAGTTAGCACTTAACTAACTCCTTCAAAGACACACCCCCCCCCGCACCACTTCACATACATCCTCCTATATGTACCTGGCTGAAGTCACCACCTTGGCCTTAATACGACAGCTTCAAGTGAAAGCCAACCTTACACTTCACTTGGAAAGAAACAGACATTGGTGCGTATGCCATCCTGCGATCACCCGGGGGGAACATATAAATATTTTAGCTATAACATATAGATGTTTTTCTACAATAGCTTTTCTTGTTCAATCTTGGAATCTTCATCTACAACCAGGAAATCCATTAGAAACAAGCTAATCTTCACAATTTATTTTAAACAAGATGCTGATACACAAAAAGAAATGACAAGTCCTGAAAAAAACTTACCATGTTTCTTGATTACATCGCAAAGATTAAACTGGTGCTCTGTTTTGCAGTGGGAGAAAACATCTTCAGCAGAACTAAACAACCTGTAAACAAAGAATTATTAAATATGCAGTATTAATATGTTTAAAAGATATAACACTACTATGAGTTTTATATGCTCTGTCGTGACCTGCTTGGCAATGTATTCAGAACACGTCACTTTTGCCTTTGAGAAAGGACAAACAGGTGCCTGCTTACTCGCGTACCTCACAAAGAACCTCCTACCTCGTTTGCAAAACATTTTGTAATAAAAGGCAGGAAAGGCAAAAACTTTGTTTGACAAAACCACGAACCCTGTTAACTTTCAAAAACCCCTTTGGGGCAAAGACAGCATTAAACCCGAAATCTAAGAACGACACGTATACAAGGCAAGTCGGCCAGCTCGGTCTGCTGCAACAAAATAAAAATTCTCACCTATTTACTGACAAGGGGGAGGAAGGACAGAGAGAACTCAAGAGTGAAACCTCCATACTGCTTCAGGGCGAGGAGAAGGGAATTACCTGCTTCCCACCTTACTTCTCCCTCCTTCAGTCCGGATTTACCAGAACTTTGGCTCTAGAGAGGCCGTACAGGAGATCAACAAGCTCCAGAGCACCGTTGCAAACTATACGTTCTTTATTCCTCCGAGGCGGCTGCCTCCCGCAGGCCCACTCTGGGCCCTGGCCTCCATACTGCTTCAGGGCGAGGAGAAGGGAATTACCTGCTTCCCACCTTACTTCTCCCTCCTTCAGTCCGGATTTACCAGAACTTTGGCTCTAGAGAGGCCGTACAGGAGATCAACAAGCTCCAGAGCACCGTTGCAAACTATACGTTCTTTATTCCTCCGAGGCGGCTGCCTCCCGCAGGCCCACTCTGGGCCCTGGCACACCCCCCCCCACACACCTCCGGAGGGCTCTGGGGGTCGGACCGCGCCTCAGCCGGTCCCTCGGCAGGGCCGAGCACACCCCGCCCCCGCCCAATACCTGTCGCAGGA